GAGGCGGAAAAGTTAAAGGCCGAGATGGCCATCCTACAGGGCCTCATGTCGGAGCTGACCGGCACACTGGGAACAGGGAACACAGGCTCTGCAAGCAGCCCTTTATCACCCGAGCTCAATGGCGGCTCTCTATCCAGAAGAAATACGAACAGGACTTCGGTCGCAAATTTAGAGCAGATGTGGAATATCCAGCTACAGGCACTATGGAAGAATATCGAGAAATCTCAAAAGTTCTTGCCAGCGGTACCTGGCCGCCACATCGTGGCAGAAACGGGCACCTGGATCGAGCTGGACTCGGCCACTTGGAAACCAAAGCGGCCGGTCCATATTGTGCTTTTGAACGATCATCTTCTTGTTGCGTCCAAGAAGCGCAAGCGGGTAGACCCTAATTCACCTCAACAAGGTCCCGCCCCTACTAAACTGGTCGCAGAGGAATGCTGGCCACTCCAAGACATTGAAATCATCGATATGGCAGCCAATGTGACAAATGGCGGGGCCGGGACACCAGCTGAGGAAAAAGCTATTGCTTCTGCGCTGGCGATCAGATCTGGTGGACGGTCGCTCACCTACAGACACGAGAAGCGTGACGAAAAAGCCAAAGGGGCTCTCTTGATGGCGCTCAGAAAAGCAACCGAAGACGTCCGAAAAGCCGCCAAAACACAGGAAGAGCAAAGCAAGCCTCTTCAAACCGAAAGTCTCAACTACTTCGCAGCTCGCGACCCGGCGTCGGCAAAAAATACCGAAATCATCGAGAGCATCAACTCCTCCAAGGAGAAGCCCGACATCCTCATCGAGGTGGACGGCCGGCAACAGAATTTCCGCTGGGTTGAGGGACAAATTGACGATTTGGACATTGAAATCTCGCTACAACGCTTCGACGAAGCCGTCGAAAAGGTTGAGAAACTGCGCAAGATTGCCAAGAGCTTAAAGGGTAATTCGATTGCACAAGAGTTGATCAGCGTCAAAGTCGACGAGCGCGCCGGCAAGCTCGCCACCGTGCTCTGTCGAGAATTGATCGAGACCCCGTCTTTCGTGGAAGCCACGAAACGCAAGGTCGGCTATCTCATCCGCCTCGGATTTGAGGACCGCGCAAGAGAAGCTTACCTTAACGCCCGAAGCGAAACACTGACCAAACGAGCCCGACAATGCGTTTTCGAAGGCGATCTGCATCGCTATGTCTTCTCCATCTCTTACGTGTATTTCACTGTTGTGAAAAACACTGTGCTTATCTATCAAGCTGCCTTTTCGCCGTTGACGATCAGCGCGTGTGTCAAATGGGCGGATATACATTTGGAGACGTTTAACACACTGTTGGTGAGGCAGTTGAGTGCCATTGAGAAGCAGGGGAAGTTGTGGAGAGAATGTATGGACGTCGTGTGGCAGCATGAGAGGGAGATGTTGGGGGATTCCGGATTAGATTTTAGAGAAGTTATTGGTCGAGAATTGGAGGTCAGGGACATTCCAAGCAGTGGAAAGCATGGAGGAAATACTGGCGCTTCTGCAGGGAGCAGAGAGGAGAGCCGGTCAAAGTCACGGCCAAGGGGTGCTACGTGAGGAAATGCATGATGAGCGGAGAAGGCAAATATATTGGTACCCCTTTCGAATCTACACAAGGTATATGCAAAAATGCACGACAGACTCCCGGCGCTTTTCGCTCGTGCTGGAACTGAAAATTTTTTTTCTTCCGCATTGCCTCATGTCGGACGGTCGCAAGCTTGATGTTGACACGCAGGAGTACTGCGATGATGATACATGGTGTACATATGTAGAGTCTGTCCTTTCAATGCTCGTGGAGCAGCAAAATGGGCTTGTCTGAGGAGCCGGACTCTGGCATTGGGAGGTATCGGAGCTGCCTTTATTCGTTGATCTTTGCGAGGAGCCTTGATACTGTTAGCACAAAGATGCCTCCTTGACAAACCTACGATTCGGACATACTCGTGATCTCGGAACAAATGGTATTCCTCGTCTCCCACCTTCACAGGGCTTCCGCCGTACTGAGGAATCAAAACCTTGTCGCCCTCCTTGACGCTCATTGCCATTCTCTTTCCCTCCTTGTCGAATCCGCCGGGTCCCACAGCCAAAACCTTTGCTTCGTTCAACTCCTTGACGCTGCTCTCGGGGAGATAGATACCAGCAGCTGTTCTTGACTCGGCCTTGATTCGCTGGACTAGAACGCGGTCGAGAAGAGGGACGAGGGATCGGATGCTCTTAAGTGCGGTAGTCTGTAGAGGTGTTTGTCAATCGACTGAATTTGCGAGGAACTGCGTCGCAATAGAAGCATTTGAAGCTTCTACTAGAGGAAAACTAACTTACCATTTTGACGTGATTGGAAAGGTTCAGCGGGAAACTGGATCGACGAGGGTATGGGAGGGTAGATTCACGCAAAGGTCTGTAACAAGTAAACAGATGATCACTTTTGAAAGGTTTCCGGGGACTTTTTCTCGAACCATCCGCTCGTTACTCGGTAGACTTTCCTCGATCGAGCTCCGATAATGATTGGACAGGAAATGCCGCAAACTTTCCAAGCTGCAGCGCAAATTAAGCAAACAAGGCAAACATCCTGCGCTTCATCAATTCCCCAGCCAAATACCAACCTCCAGCCCACCCCTTCCTCACCTTCAGAGAGCATTGTTCGACTGACAAGATGATGGACTCGGACGAAGATGATATCTATCCGGAGCACGACGAGACGAACGGGCATACGAACCAGGGTGAGGTGAAGATGGAGGATGCAGAGGACGACGAAGAGGAGGGCGAGGAAGTGGAGGAGGAAGACGACGAGGTATGAAATATACCTCAGGAATCAGAGATCGCGAGAGGCTGACTGCATTCAGGATGATGTCGACTTCATCATTGATGTGAAAGATGAACTAAAGCCGGAGCCAAGCTCAGCACCAGGTTCGCAGACAAGGCGACTGCCTGGACTTGGACAAGCTGGGGCAGACATACGGAAATCGTCGTCGACACCAATGCCAGCAATGAAAGCAGGAACGCCCGCAGACGCAAGAGGCGGATCCCAACCCCCTAATGAACGCCCTGGCACCGACTACCCGGCTCGACATACGTCCAAGATCAATCCGAACGGGAATCCCGTACACCCAGCCACGGGCAAGCCTATCATGTCCACAGACTTCGACGTTGACTTTCCCTCGGAATCGTCCAAGCCGTGGCGCAAGCCCGGTGCAGATATAACAGATTACTTCAACTACGGATTTGATGAATTTACATGGGCATCTTATTGCCTCAAGCAGCAACAAATGCCCAAAGAAGTGAAAGAGATCACACAACAAGCAGAACAAATGAAAGCATTTGTAGAAGGTATCCCCGGAGGTGGCATACCAGGAATGCCCCCCATGCCAGGTGCGCCCGCAGCTGATATGTCACAAATGGTAATGCCCAACGAAGCCCAGATGCAGCAAATGTTTGCTGCAATGACGTCCCAAGGTCTGGATCCGACGAGTATGGACCCTTCTCAGTTCATGCAATTCATGGCAAGTGGAGGAGCGGCGATGATGGGCCAGCCGCAGCCTCCCACTGGACCTTCTGCTTCATTTGCCGGGGGTGGGGGTGGAGGAGCTGGTGGATTCGATCAAGGCGGTGGTGGTGGTGGGTTTGGTGGCCGTGGAAGAGGAAAAGGCGGGAGGAGAAATTGGTAGCGACAGTTTCGTCATCCGGACTCACCCGTCCACTACTGATCACGACTTGCTGTGTCGTCCTACCGCCCTGCTTGCTTCCGGCGAGTCAGTCGGCTCTACTATGCAAGCATTGACGAAGCGGTTCAGACACGGCGAAAGAACTTCGTATTTCGCTGCGCCTCTATGGGTCGGCGATTTGCAGATTTGCCACCACGGTTTAGCAGCAACCGCTCTAAGCGCTAACAAGTTGCGCCGAGAAATAAGGTAGAAATTCTAACACCGCGCAGTAATATGTTGAGCAGGTTCATCAGAAGGCATCGCAACAGCCATATCCTGAAGCCTTGACCGGCTTCACTAAAAGATTTGGTCTTACCCGCTTGCGATCCAAGAAGCGAGACTCAATCTCATGTATCAACAAGGAAAATACCCTATCCCAAAGGAGTGTATTGCTCAAAGTTTACTTTATTGCCTTTTGGTCGACTCCTGAATGATCTCAGCCTTGTGCACTCCCGAGGCTGTATCCACTCACACCCTGTGTTTCCCTCTCCAGGCAATACCTTGACTTCGGACGATGTTGGCCGCATAAGACATTTTTCCTCAGCTATGGCCTCGCCTAATACACGAAGTCAATCAAATATCTTGTCGGGAGCGAGGTTTCTTGGTGAGTAAGCTGATCAGGCCAGCAATACCACAATTTGTTGCGCAAAGCCTAAGCCCCCCAACGCAATGGAAAACGGAGCGCGACAAGCTCCCAATAGAGACTCTTTAGATGGCCTTCTGCAAACCTTACAATCCAAATTGTCCTGTTTGGACACTTAGACTGCTTATCTAGCTTGTGAACACCCACCTCATTCATTACGCTCATTCTCCCACAGATTTTTCTGGGTTGACGAGCTGTAATCATGCACTTCTACAACCACAGAGGTCAAAACTGATCGCGGGCCTTGCTACCGAGAGTTTATTTAGTGTTCCTGTCAATAACAATCAAAGGGACAGGTTTGTCCACAATTCAGTTCCTTTCAGGCCTTTCCTGTACTCGCGACAAAATTTCGGGCAATTCCAAAGAGGGCTATCAGAGCTCATTTCCGCGACCATCTTCGCTCGAGGCCAGACCTTACCCAGCCTTTTAACAACGTGTTAGATAAAACGCCTATCACGATGTCAGACTCCGTAACTGAACAGCTGGCGCATCTTGGATCGCTGCTCTCCAAGTCGAAAGTCATACTACCGCCATCAGAGCCTTATGAGTTGCACATTTTAACATGGGCGGCTTAAAAAAACCTCCATCCGCGCCTCGTTGTCTGGCCCAGTTCAACGCAATCTCTGTCAAAGGTCCTACGATACCTATCAAACACTGATCTACACATGGCCGTCCTCAGCTCCGGGTACGGCTCGGTGTCGGCGAGGGACGTGGTCATTAGTATGGAGTTCTTTGACGAGTTTGACTCTGATAACGAGAACGGGATTTTGACACTGGGCGCGGGACAGCTTTGGAGGGATTATTATGACAAGATGGAGAGGGAAGCTCCCGATCATCACGGTAGGTATTGAAGTTGAGGATCCCCCCTTTCACGCGAGCTAGCTTAAGGCTAACTGAAGATTGTGTCCATCTTACGGGAATAGTGATCGCCGCACGAACACCAGCCCTCGGGATCGGAGGGAACATCCTCTCGATCGGCTTCTCCTGGCTCGCCCGCCAGTACGGCAACACCTCCGACCCGGACAACATGCTCGACGCCGAGGTCGTCAGGATGGACGGGACCGTCCTCTGGGCCTCGGACGAACCTGACCTGTTGTCGGCTTTGCGAGCCGCCGGAGCCAGTTTCTGCGTCGTCACCAGGTTCAAACTCCATGCCTATCCAATGCCCCAGGACATTTACGCTGGCCATCATCATCCCTCGCTGCCAGCTCCCTCTTATCGCGAGGGGCATTGCGACCATGAACGCCCTCTCCGAGACCACCCTCTCCCCACAAGTCTCCATGGACTTGTAGGTGGTGAGGTAAGAACAAGCGGCGCGCATGGGCGCCACGGATGACCGGTTCATCGTGCAAGCATTCGACTCCCTGGGCGAGGAGCACGGAAGGTCTGAGGGAGGGTTCAAATGGGCTCTAACGATCCCCGCTGCGTTGGATATGACCAAAGTCACCAACCTCCGGGGCGTCTCACGGATGCATGGTACGTTATAATTCTTCCCAATCCATATCAGGCTGTAGCAGTGAGGGGTATGAGCTCTGCAGCAGACAGACAGACAGACAGACAGACAGACAGACAGACAGACAGACAGACAGACAGACAGACAGACAGACAGACAGACAGACAGACAGACACCCAATCAAGCAGCCAAAGAAAACAAAACTCTACAGGTACATATGGAATCCGAGAGAGAGAGAGAGCAAAAAGCTAAACATAACCCCTCCACCCGGTGCCTTGTTCTAGGGGTGGTGGAACAATTACAGAATAAGTTACCTCCGTCAAAGGCCGATTCAAAATATACTGGCAGCCCCTGGCCATCACGACGCTTACCGAGAAAACCATCCTCAACGCAGTGAGCTGGTTCGACCGCGTCGGCGCGGCGTCCGGCGGCGCGATAGCCAAGAGCGCACAACTTGTATTTGAATGCCTGTGTACGCGGGACTCGGCGAGCGGTCCTTCTGGATCGGCCTGGCCGAGGCCAAAGGGGATGAAAAACACAATCATTTGCGCGGCAGGGTGCGACGCCGATGCTGCCGGTAAAGGCACAGAAGAAGAACATGATAATGACGACGACGACGTCGCAGCAGCGCGACGGCTTTGTCTGGACGCGCCGGGGATGATACTCGGGCAACAAGAGGGCGGCGAGCCTGTCAGATATGCGCCAAATGCATTGGAGGAGTATCATGGCCTGAAAGACGTGAGTATATGGCATTCCTTCATACCTATATTCATTCATTAACCCCTCCCCCCGGGGAGCCCGGTGCCCAAAAGCATCTAGCGCCAGGTAGCACCACCTACGCCCCCTTTCTCGCTGTGTCATCGCGCAAGTTTCACATCTTCAAATCGAAATATGCAATCCCTTCAGGAAGCCCTCTGAAAGGCAGAGCCAGAGTCAGAGGAGATCTGAGATCCGGTATCCGAGATCCTTCCGCCCACATATCGACCTACCGACCAATTGATTGGTCGGTAGATTGATGGGTTGAGAAAAACGGTCCTCGATGCCCTAACCGCTCTCCCAGTTTTCTCATTTTCCCAGCTTCTGAGAACTATTTACCTAGGTCTTCGCCGAGCACCTCCCGAATCTGCTCGCGCTGAATAAGCACTATGATCCGCGGAATAAGCTAAAGGGGCCGATCAATCTCAATCTCCCTGCCTCGGAGACCGAGACCGAGTCTCAGCCCCCGAGTGAGGAGGTCGATGGCGGAAAAGGGCAGGACAGGACTAGACTGGAGAGAGGAGGAAAGGGGAAGGGAGGACGGGGATACCAAACAAACAGTAGGAGCAGGAGAAGACGGGAGACGGGGACGGAAGAAGGGGGGAAAGAATAGGGTAACAGCTCTTTCGCCGATACAGGTAGGTAATAATACCAATACTGGATTCCTGGAGAAAATTAGGTACGGTACACGTGAGACGCAGCCTCGTTGATGCTCAGGACGATAGATAGATTGTGTTCTGTTCCGAATTAGTACTCCCTTCCCGAAGCCCCCCACGCATCTTCAGAGGTTCATCCTGTAGATTGATCGTCTAGGATCTTCTCGATCGGGCTCAAATGCAAAGAGCAAGAGTCAAAGAGCTCCATCTTCCAAGCGCCCATCTTCAAACCCCGCGTCGAGTTGTCTGGGCGTCTCTCGCTGGACATTGGTATCACTTCGATATTGATGTTCTGGCCGCTGCAGCCTCGAGTGCACGCGCGGTGACCGTTCAGAGCACTCTCAACAGAGCGGGGTCATTCGGCCATAGTCCCACAGACAAATGCTGAGCGAGGCGTACCAAGTTGACCTTCCAAGCACATTTCTCGAGCATACCATCAGACTAGAGTCATGTAACCCGTGCAAATCCACCAGTGCTGGTTTAGGAGATCCGTCGCCTTCCAATAACTGTACTAAAGCCCGTATCAAGTCGCTTGAAAAGGAACATATCTCCAGCAAAAGCTGCAATCGCGTGTGGCATTCTTCAACATCGGCCCGGGGAGATCTCTGGTTTCAACCTGTGGCCTATTCATTCAAAGAATTCTATAGGCTTTCTCTCGGATACCCTCTCAGAATTCGGACCGGGCTCTGATCGCAGACCTTGATCTTGCTCTGATGCGTCACATTCTCCCAAGCTCATCGGATCCACCGGTTCCTTCCATTTGCATTTCATGTACGAAGCCAGAGGAAATTCTATAGGCGCAAGTCTGTCTCTGTGGCCGCGGATTTGTGACATCAAACGGGAAGATCCTTGATGGCGAAATGCTATGTCCCTGCGGGCCAAGGTTGAGTAGGATGGTTCCAGCCAGGCCATGGTTCGACGTCAAGAATAATAGCTGCGAGTTCGGCAAGCCAGGAGTAGTCTTTCCTATCCAGAATGAGGACAACAAGATCGGATTGTTAAAAAATACTTGGAGACCAATTCCTGTTGGCGTCTGTAGAGCTCTTTCAGATTCGAGGTTCGTAATCTTGCCTCCGAATGAAACCAGCTGATCAAAAGATTTCCCGTTCATATCCATTGAATCTACCTTGACAACATCCGCCATCACCACATTGGCACGAAGTGGAGCCTGTAAGCGTGCTTTGACGGCGCCACGGACTGAAGATAGTTTTGAATTGAGGGTGAAACTCTCGATCGCTGCGTTCAGTCGCTGGCTATGATTTCCTGCCCCAAGCCTTGTTGTCACCCTACGACAGCATCCGTGGAAGGCGCCGTTTGCGGAACGATGACGAGCTTATGTTGGCGCAACACTCGTGAAACCAATCGATGGCCACTTCAGGGATAGAAACGCGCCAGGTTCTTTGATGGATCGTGCCTTTGTGGTGAATAACCGAGATGGAGGTCAAATACAGGAGCAACAACTTGCCGGCTCCACGGAAAGAACAACTTCGACGTTTGCCAGGAGAACTTTGTAGGATTTGCTTGCCTTGGTCATAGCACTTCGCACCTTATCTGAGTTCAGGCATAGCCCGCCGAATACGGCACAGCCACACCTGTTTGATCCTACTCTGCCGCGGCGGATACAAGATTTTGTCCATTTGCCGTCGGCCTTCAGTGCGCGCCTGGGGGATCAGGAATACCAGCATATTCACTGAACCTTGGCTCCAAGCCTAGGGATCCAGAGGTCCCTGCTCGACCGACTTTCATGCCTGAAATAATTGGACTGTAGTTTTGAGTTGTGTGTTTGACTTTGCTAGAGTGGTTGTGCTCGCGATGAGACGAGCCTGGCAGGTGATGGCTAGCCGGAAGCTGAGAACGCGACCCTGTCGCTGGAACGCCGGCTTGGTGGACACCCAGACGAGAGTGAGCCGGTAAGGTTACTCGTTGCAGAGGCGTTCCTGAAGTGGTCACAAGATTTGCTGTGACGGGTTAGTAGAAACAGGCCGGTCACCTTGGGCCACGTACGTATTCTAGATATCCCCGGTCTCTCCGGTGGCAGCATGCCTCTCTGCTCGCTGCCGCCAACACTGCTCCCGGACCTCTGATGAGGATGGAGTCGTTCTGGTCCTTCTTGCAGTCGGCCGTAGTTAGGAATTGACCTTTGTGGAATGTTGAGAGGCTCTGGTGGATAAACCGCTCGTCTTGAGGCCATAATGGGCTGTTTCTTGGTTTGGGGTAAGGCATCCATGGATTGTAACGTCTGAGCCACGTCGTCATCAGCAAGAGGTTGGATTTTCTCCAACATGACTTTCTGCTTCAGAATATCGTAGAGCTTCTGGGTCTGTGCTTGCTTCTTGCTCTTTTCCTGATACTGATCGAAAAGCTGGGCATATTTTTGGTTCATTGATTGTTGATCAGCAGTGAGGTCTTCGCAGAGGTCAGTGGCCTTTCCTTAGCGGAGATAATTTGCAGGTTATACCCTGATTTTGCGTCTCTAGAGCTTGGATTCGAGTATTGGCATCACTAACAATCCTTTCAACTTCTGCATTGAGCTGGTGGTACCTCTGCATCAGGTTTCTGGCAATGTGTTGCTGATATGCACTGTCACTCTTATCAGAAGAGTTAGGCAATGGACAATCCGTTCAACGTCACTGTTCCTGAGCATTCTGGTATGTCCAGAACGAAAGCGCTCTCTGAGCACATTCCACGATAGTTGCGGGATCAAAGCCACAGAGGACGCTGGTCTTGAAGTCCTCGGGGGGATTCACCAGATTGCGGACGGCGTCATGGGCATTTGGTAGGTCGGTTTTGCAGACCGGACAGCGACGCTGGTTCCGAGGTGCGGTAGATAAGCCAGTCTTTTCGGCGCAGGGGATGCAAAAGATGTGCCTGGAAGAGGTCAGAATAATGATGGCAAGGTGTATCATCAGGAGGACATGCGCGCAAGTCGTGACGATCGCTTCTGTCGTGAGCGCAGTGCGACAACTGCCCCCATGTTGGCTGTTGCACCGGAGGTGCTGGTCCATTGCTTCGTCTTAAGGAGAGGAGATCTGGCAAGTGGTTGAATCGGGGAATGAGAGACGGGTAGAGGAGAGTCGGGAGAGGCCGTATGTCAAGACATCAGCAGTTGGGAGGTGGGAGGCGGGACGCTACTTCCTTGTCCAGCCCAAGACAGAGAACGACCTTGAAGCTCAGCCTTGCCAATCAGCCTTGTCCGTCAGCCTTGTCCGCACCTGCCTGCTGTCTCGAGTCTTTGCAAGGCCAGCCCATCTTCCATGTGATATTCATTCTGGCGAGTCCCATTCTTAACTGCTTCCATCCCGCATCCACCATCTCCGCAGAGAATACCGTCCTCAGAAACAAGTCCAGTTCAGCCAAAGAAAAAGGCATTGCCCTGCGGATCCCTTCTGCCTCCCTTAGCGATCTCCTCAAAGTCCATCCCCGCCTTGAACTCTTTCCATACACTTGCCGGATATATGTGCTTGTTCCTCTCGTACCACCTCCGATCCACGACTTTGGTCAACGCCGGATCGTCATTATGCCCTTCCAACGTCTCTTGCTTCTTTCCGGGCACCCTTAATAGACCCATGTTTTCGCCAGCTTGTCCGCTCGGGTTGGCATTCCTGACGTCTGCTGTTCCCAGGTACTCGAACAGCAACTTTCCTTCTCTGCTCGGATCGGGAATCTTGTTTGCAATAAAATAGTAGAACTCATAATGATGCGGTATGATGACTTCGCCTCTTACGAGCATCAAGTCATCTACGCCCACGCGCGCCCACTGCTTCCTCGAGTCCTCCCTGCTTTTCTTCTGTGCGGCACCACTCCCACCAGCACCAGATACCGAGCCAGACCCAGAGACGCCGAGTTCAGCGCCGACTTTTCTACACCGGTCCAAGAACAACCACACATGATCGCCCTTTTTCACTTTCACGCTCCCGCCCGGGACATTCGCCCCAGCTTCGTAAAACACAAAGGGGATCTCAATCTCTGTGTCCTTCACCCGGTCTTGGATCTCAAGAAATTCCTTCCGGAGCCTTTCTCGCTCCAGAGCGTCAGCCGCCAAGGCGGCTTTTGTGATTGCCCGAGGTGGAGGGAGAGTTGACTTTGGGTTGGGCGTTAATTTTCGAGTGATCACGGATGGTTCAGGCGACGGTTCGGCGGACGTTCTCAGGCTTCGCGCCGCGGGCGTCGAGACCGCGCTTCCGCCATCTACGTCTTCGTCTTCATCGCCTCCAAAGGATAGAAGCCCTTTCGCTGCAGCCTTTTTTTTCTTCAACTTCTTACTCGGAGGTCCGTCTTGATCAGTCTTTCGTGTCGCCGCCGCACTGTGCTTTGCAAATTAGTCCCACTCTCACAACCCTCAAGAAAAATCCGCAAAGCGAAGAAATAAAGGGTAGTGGTTCACCACACCCTCAGCGCAAACGAGTTACAAAACTCACCCGTCACTCTCTGGTGTCCTCGTTCCAGTCCTTTCTCTTGCCTCTTTCTCTTTCAATTCCAACACATCTGCCCTTCTCTTGCGGAAGTCCGCCAAGTTCACTAAGCCGACCGTTTGCGATTTGAGCAGGTCCTCCGCGGTGGCGGACTGCGCAGTGAATGCGCGCGGCGTCGAGGTTCCGGAGGGAGGGTTGGAGTGGGACATGTTTACAATCCGGAAGGGGGAGGGAGGTAAAAGAGGTGGGAAGGGAGAGAAAGAGTGAAATAAGCATGCGGTGTAGTCCCATCGCTGTGTGGCTAGCCAATCAGGAACTAGAATGTTCAGCCTTGCATGTCCTGGAGACTGGGGTCTTGAATGTGGGAACTCATGGACTGACAATGGCAATCATATTGTTATGACTTCGACCATTTTGGTGGTGAAGAACGTTGCATTTTGTCCTCACCCTGTCCACCACTGACACTAGTAAGGGATTTACAGCTGTAAATGAAGCCTCGAAAAACTTTTCCTACTATACATCAACTAATTATGAGCATATATCATCATTCCTTCGTCTGGAGTATCCCAAATCTTCTCCTGTATATGACGACGAGTTGCGTCTGGCCCTGCGAGCTTCTGCGGCTCTTCCAAATCATAGACATCCTGATCAGACAACAATATACTCGCCCTGGTTGTTCTCCATTTTCATGATAGTCGTAAACCTGAAGCCAGTTTCGTTGTCCACATCTCTCTCGGAATTCCCGTGCTCACTGCCAGCCACATGCCGTTTCTTCCTATCATCGTAACTGCGCCACACTTTTTCTAAAAGCTCCAAACAGCTCTTGTTGTTGAGAAACCCACTATCTTTTTGAATATCCAGACATCGTTGGCGAATCACCTCACGATCAAGGTCATCCACGCACTCGCTGCCCGTGATGAACAACGGCCAGAGAAGATATACGTCCGACTTGACGGCTTTGATGTATTTGAGGCATACTTGGACCAAATCGCAGATGGCTGAGTCCGTACTAGGAGCTTGTGGGTGAGCTAGGCGCTCCGTGTATAGCAGTGCAGAATACCTGAAGGACTCAGATATATTGCCGAGATCCACGCGCTGCTCGTCGGTCAAATAGGGCGCTCCAGGGTTCGGGTAGTCGAAGACGATAGGATCCAGCTGCCAAGCCAACAATGCCTGTCGAATTTCTCTCCATTCTCGCCAGAACTGCGTTTTCACGTCGGGTTTGGATACTTTGCTGGAGAACAATTCCTCGTCCTCGGTGATCTGCATCCATCCATTGCCATTAAATTTGCTATAGTCAAAGTTCAGTGCGGATGGGATCGTCGGCGGTGGTCGAGAAACAATGGTAGGATACTCTTCGACAGTTTTACCTTGGCTCAACACATTTAGCCTGCCCAATTTGGCGATGATCTTGAACAAGTGCCCATCACAACCCGCAAGATTCTCCAAGGCCCATTCTTCGTCGGAAAGGGCGGACACGTCCAAATGGTAGCCCTGAAGCTGCCCCTCACGATCGTTGACTGTAGCAGTCATTGCATCAAACCAGGTAAACATCCGTGTAAACCATTTCGCCTCCCTCGTATTCAACCCTGGATCATTCTTGCGCAGCGAGAGGAGTTTCTTGACTCCGGCGAACTGTGTCCGGAACTTAGCAACCCCTGAGTCGCAGATATGGAATAGACACAAGATAAGTAGTGTGGCCAGAATCGAATCGTCCATTCGTTGAATGGGATTGGCAAGCTGCCTGTTTAGGGATTGAATGGCAATCCCTTTATGCATTGATTCCTCACGCGCTTGCTCCTGCGGAGTCAACAAGCCCGTTTCATGCCACTGTTCCTTCGTGAGGGTGAGATGTGCCATAGAGGACCGCCTCGCCGGATCAGTTTTGCCCGTAGATAGCCCTGTTTCGCGCCGTTGTCTCAGGTTACTCGCCGCCAATGCGGCTATCGCATGCTGGAGAGTTTCGCTCCTTCCAGCTAGCCGCAGAATTTGTGTTCGATATGGATTTGAAGGACCATCGAACGCAACAATTACGGGCGAGATGACCTCAGTATAATAATGTATGAGGTACTGCATCCGTGGCGTTGCTCCAATAGCTCTTACACCTGCAAAAGGCGAGAGCAAAAGGCTGCAGTCGTGGAGCGACCACTGGGAAAAGCCTACCATAGAATCATCTTCAACAATGGCACATTCGTTTTCGTACGGATTCCGAAGAACTTCCTCGACCACTTCATTAGCAGCTTCGTCGACCAGTTGGGTGGTGGCTGGTTCCACTTCTTGGGGTAGAAGTACCCGGGCGGACTCGTCCTGTCTCTGGTAAACGGGAAACTGTCCGTGATCGGGATATGACCCACCAAATGAGGAGGTAATTTGAGGGGACTCAGGATACGTAGGCAAAGTCGCCGTTATACCAGGAGGGTTATGGTTCAAGACTTGTCCAAAGTATGCCGAGTCGGGAGAACGAGGAGAGTGAGACATGGGGGACACTCGATCGCTCCCACTGCATGCAGCACTGGGCCGCCTAATGCCAGCACCGGTAGGTACCTCATGGGCAGCCCATGAAGGGGCTGGATACAAACACACTCCCAACGCTGTTTTGATACCGGGGAGTTCTGGTGGCGGGCTCCATGAATTCGGAGTCGCGGCATAAGAGGGAGGCATTGAAGGAGGATGGGGTGGACCAAAGTGGAAGGCCGCATTGCTGTTGGTAGAAGATTCTGGGGATCGCACAGCCGGAGCGGGTGTGGACAGAACTTCTGGAGCTGCATTAAGAATGTGATGCAGCTGTGGTGGACGCGGCGGAGGTGGCGGCGGCGGTACCGATGTCCTCTTTGGCCTCGGTGGCGAACTGGGAGAGGAAAGCTTCTGCGTGCCAGCAATGGGCAGTGAAAGGCCACGCAACTTGCCCCTGCTTGCCACTCCATTCCCCCAGGTCAATTGAGTCTTGTAGCCGGCGCAGTCTTTCCCATCATCCAAGCATCGGGAGCAGTACGGTCTCCGACGGTCGCAATCAACACTGCGACTTGTGCAGGTGAAGCAGTCCACAGCTGCACCAGCAGCAGGCGCACGTTTCCTCCTCTTTCGTGGCGGGATCGAAGCATTGGTTTCTGGAGGCGCAGACGAAGTATTTTGCTGAGCGGCGAACTGAGAGCTGGACATGATTATGCCAACGGTCGCAGACTCGATGTATAGGACGACTGGCGTGACGAGGAGGAGTGAGACAAAGAAATGCTAAGACGTCATTCGCAGAGTCAAAGATTTCAATTCAAATTCATTCGAACAGCGGGTAAAACCCCAAGATCTCCATTTCGGGGAATATATCGGGATATATCGGCCAGGACATGAGATGATGGAGATAGGTGAGATTGTAGCAAAGCAGCAAGGAAAGGAACAGGAAAAGAAACAGAAACAAGAATGAGCGGAAGGAATGCTGAGTCCACGGGCAGCCAACCACCCCATAAGATATGGGGCGTGCGCACCAAGAAGGGATCTACAGTGCAGAGAAGGATAACGGCGTCATGGATCGAAGGCGTCGAAGCCGTGGAAGGTGGGAAAGATGGCACTGATGGGAGGACAATTGAAAGTTGGAGAGG